TTTGGTCAAAGAGTGTTGATTAATACCCAGAAGTGCAAATGGGTTGAAAATATCAACCCAATATTTAAAAAATGCTCTCTATTTCCACTTTCCTCTCCTGTAGTGTAATTCCAATGTGTACTTGACTCTGTGAGGGGAAAGTGTTTCTGTAGAGGGCTGTTTGTCACCTCTAAGCACAGATACAGAGCAAACTCACTATTTCTGTTTGGAGAAAAATGCCTTTAGTAGCAATTATGTCTTGCAGAATCCTTTGGGTTTACTGTACATGTCAGTAAATCCTGTTGTAAAATTCCAGTTTGGTCTGGAAGCAGCTGGTTCTGCTTCTTGCAATGAGACACTGTTCTTTCATTTGAGTCAGCAGAGACTTTTACTGCAGCCTTGGTTGCCTCTAATGGGGAAGATCCTGAGATTTGGAAGGAGCCTGGAGAACAGCAGAAATGAGCTGGCAGCTGATGGATGTATTTACAAAGATGCAAAAACTCTGGAAAAAAATGCAGACAAACAAACAAACAAAAAAACCCCACAACAGATGCCTGCAGAAGATCTGGAGCACTTAAGTACTGTACAAGAATCCCTCTAAGTTCCTAAATGTTGATTCGGATGCCAGTTGAAGTGTGTAGGTACTTAAATATTAACTGGAAAACTTTTTGTGCCTAAAGTCTGCTACTGAGCATGCCTGAATCTACTTAAGTTTGTAGCACTGTTTATGTTTCATGGGGATCCTGCACACAGGACTGGCTGCTGTGTGCACCGTAAGCCATGGAGGCAGCTCTGCACCCTGACACAGAACACCCTGTACCAGGCCACACAAAGTTAAGAGGGGATGTAAGCTTAGCTGATTCTCCCTGTCCCTTTGTTTAGATGTGCTTCTCCTGTGCTATCTTTGATGCATGCGCAGACTATGCTCTTTCCTCTTGCCTTTTTAAAAACTGCAGAGCTCTTGATCACAGTGTAGGAAATGCTCCTTTTCACCTTTCGTATTACTGGGGATGTGCTTGAATCCTCTGGCTTGAAAGAGTTTCCTGTTGCATGAGATGCTCACTGTTGCAGGGTCAGAAAGGGAATGCAAGCCATTGAATGATACTTTGTAGCATAATGGTGAGGGCATGAGCCCTAGAGAAGAAGGGTTTTTTTTCTCTTGTGCAAGAGAAATTGGATTCAGGCCTGAATTCTAGGTTTAACCTTCTTGAGGATAATGATTAACTAGTTGGCTTTATGATTACATGCTTGTCCTTGCTTCCAGGTCCTGGTTCAATTAATGTCTCAGTGCTGTACATGATGAAGCAGCTTCCACAGATTGGGAGCTTTTTGACCCTAAGAATCCAGTAGTCTAATGTGTCAGAAGATTTGCAAGGAATGCAGCTGGGTTTCATACATTCTAGGGAGAAAGCCCTAATACTTGTGCTAGCAGATAACTACACTGTTGCGTGAGGAGAAAGGTGCCGTGAACACCTTAATCCAGAGTTCAGACAGGCCTAAACATACTTCTGTAGGACAGGAGCAAGTAGCTGAATGAAGAGGAGAAATGGACCTTGAAACCACATTCTTTTCTTGGTGTTGGCTATTGAGCAGCGTATCTTCTTGTGTGGTTTGCTGCATCTGTAATTTCTATTCTCAGACGCTTTAATGCTCCTGTGCACTGCATGGTAAGCTATCGAAGTATCTAACGCACAGTTTTGAATTTCAGTAGGTGGTGAATTGCCTAAAAGACATCTTCTGTGGTGGTCAGCATGACAAAACTCGTGTTTTTGTGGATGTCAGTGTACACAGTTTTATGGCAGCAAAATAGCACATAGTTGAGGACAACCCACAACTAGTCCAGAATCCTAGCAAGTTTTGGTGATCAGAGAAAGCCTCAGATGTCCAGCCACTGAAGATACAGAACTCTTTTGTATGGGAAATCACTCAAATAAGAAAAATGCTTTGGGTGTGTTGAGAGGGACCTGACTGATTTCGTAAAGGTCATCTGTGTCTTAAGCCACTGGGTCTAAGTCACAGATACGGTATTTGAAAGAGACACGACCTACCCACAACTGGTCAAATGTTGGTTTGAACCTGACCTGCAGTTCCAGCTACATAGTTGGCCAGTATGCACAAGCAGAGAGAAGTTTTATTCCACATGTGCTGTGAATTGTAACTATCTGTGCATGAAATCTGGGCTCTGTTGTACAGGAAGCGGCACCAACCTGCACACTGTACGTGCTTGATGTGCACACAGTCTTAGGACTGTGGCCACAGCAGAAGGTCATTGCAGCTCCAGCTTTGAGACTGTATGGTATTGTGGGTTGTCCTAAATAAACAGTAAGTACAACACTCTTCAAGAATACTTCTATTTCCTTCAAATGTTTGTGTTTTCATTTGTAACAGTCACGTTTTCATGGAATGAAATAAACACGGCTGAAATGAAACAACACGTACTGAGTTCTTTAAGAGATTTTGCGACACATCTTGTCCTATTAGAGATTCCCCTCGGGATGCTGGTGGAGAGGAACATGTTGCTAAGGAACGATAGGAACCCAAAGGTGTAGGCTGACACCTAGTGACTGCCAGTAAGATTCTGAAAAGCCCAGATACTCTGATGCCGACACTGATTGCTTAAAAAATTCTAAATGCTCACTCTCCTACCTCCCCCAGGTAATGAACTGAGCTCTTGAAATGTTAACAACCTCAAACTGAATTTCCAGGTCTCTCTTTGAAATGCCTCTTCAGTATAAATATTATGTCACTTTCTCTTTGAATTATTTTTGCCACAACTCTAGCAGTATAAAACATGAAAACCCATTCATTTCCTTTCAGTACGTCTTTCTTTAGAAATTTATTGTTTAGTTGAGTGCCTGCACAGAAGGCTTTGATCCAGTATACGTGGGTATACATGAGCTTGGGCAGGCATCAATGCAGATGCACTGCAGCTCAAGGACATTAAGACTGACAGATTAAATCTGTAATTATGATGAGGGTTATTTCACTCCTATTTTGGAAGAAAATTCTGATTAAGGTGTATTGAAAATACTTTTCTTCATCATGATTATTTATCTATAAGAGCTTCTTCCAGACACAGTCTCAGTGTCAGCTACTGCAGTAGAGGTTGAGACAAAGTCTACAAGAAAAGGCTGGGCAGACAGTTAACTCATTCCTTTGGGAGAGTGTAGCTGCTAACATGCCTTACATATCGTCCCTAGTTGCAGGGATTTTTTCTTCTTAGAACAGGCACTTTCAGCTCCAAATGAACTTGCACATGATGTGCACAGGTTTCTCAAGCTTCTATTTGTGCATAGCCTTAGAGTCATTCCCAAAACTGTAAAACATAGGCTAATGAGATGCCAGAGTAAATTGAGGGGAAAAAAAAAGAACTCCCCCCCCCAAAAAAAAACAACCAAAGAAACAAAAAAACCCAAACAACAAACCAAACACACAAAAACAAACAAACAACAACAAAACACCTAAAACAAAACAAAACAAATCCAAAATAGAAGCAAACAAAAACTGACTGGAGACAGAAAAGTTTTGCCTTTTTTTGTGCAAGTTTTTTGAAATTTTGACCTATACTCTTATGGAGTGCTAGAAAAAAGTTAAAGTGACCCACAGCAGACTGTCCACTTTGGGAAAAAGCAAAATAAAGTAGTTCATTCAGATGCTAACTCCTTTCCTCACTCACCTACTTACTGTGAAAATGAAGTAGTATTTCTCCACGGGATCTGTGTTGTTCCTTGCTCAGGCCAACACTCACTGTACAGTGATCAGGTTCAACACTCACTTCTAGTGCCAGTGTTCAACTAAGCTTTCTACTTTTGTTCAGAAGTCATGCCTAACCTCATGCTGAATGAAATTGCAATCCAGAGGAAAAATGACTCCTCTCTGCATTTATGAAAAAGACTCTGATCGGCTCAGACAAAAAATATGAAAATCAAATTCCTTCAATTTCCCTTTCAGGCCAAAGGCTGAAGCTGAGATAATAAAGCTGCTATTTTTATCTACCAACAATTAGTTCTGAGTTAAAATGACAGGAAAATCACAGCTGATACACCTGATAATCCTCCGTGAAGTTACCATTGATTTGGTGGATAAGAGGAGAGCAGCAAGTGTTGATTATCTCAAGCTAAATAAGACTTTTGATGCTCTTTCCCATGACATTTCATAAAATCACAGTCATAGGGGCTGGAGGGGACTTCTGGAGATCTGCTAAAGCAGGTTCCCTACAGAACATTCCACAGGAAAGCATCCAGGGTTTTAAAAAATATTTTAAGAGAAGGAGACTCCACAACATCTCTGAACAGCCTGTTTCAGTGCTGTGTCACCTTCAGAATCAAGAAGATCTTTTTCATCTTCACAGAGGAAAGAAGATGAAGCAGAATAGTCTGCTGCCCCTTGTCATATTTCTGGGCACCACTGAAAAAACCCTGACTCATCCACTTCATATCTACCCTTTAGATATGTATAAGAGTTGGTAGGGTTCCCTCTTAGTCTGCTCCAGATTAAATAGTCTCAGGTCTTTCATTCTGTCCTCATAAGAGTGATGACCCATGTCCCTAATCATTTTTATAGCCCTACACTACACTGATGAAGATGTTAAACAAGACTGGACTCAGTAGTGATGCCTGGGGAGCACCAGTTACAGGCCTTCAATGATCACAACTATCTGAGCTCTTCCAGTTGGGTAGTTCCCAGTCCACCTCACTGTCCACTCACCTATCCCACGCTTCCAAAGCCTACCTATAAGGATATTATGGCAGACAATGGCAAAAGTTTTGCTGAAGTCAAGGTACACAACATCCACTGCTATACCTTCATTTACTCAGCTTGGACATCCCAGAAGGCTACTTC